TTATGGGGAAGACAGACACGGACACTACAAATTCAAGTTAAATGATATATGAAAGAAATAGCGAAAGGATGACTGTCCATCACGACCATAAAGAACATTGGTGCCCGTCCCAGACGCAACTTGAAGTTTTGCCATGTATTATACTGCAATATGTATAAAGACATCGAGATTATTTAGTTCGTAAAACATTATTTGCTTATTTATTGAATGCACTATGATAATTTTTTTTAACAAATGTCCGTTATCTATACTTCGAAATAAGAATGGATTCACTCATTCACATGCTCTTTGGTAACAGTTGAAAAGTTCTATATCTGTTTGTTTTAGCTATCGTCACCTAGGAAATGATCTTTTCGAGCGTGCTAGGCTACATGATATATCTAATGGTTTGAGATTCAAAGTTGTTACAACTTTGCTTTTTGTTTCACTTTGATCGCTTAGTTAAAATTCATAGTTTTTCAAACAGAGTCGGACCTGATAGAAGGCCCAAGAGGCCTCCGCCTCAAGCCCAGAATTTTAGGGGGCCCTTTTTTTACTTTTTTTTTTTAACCCACTATGTCCATGTGTTCAAAAGAAACGAATAAATACTTTAATAAGAAGAGAAGAAAGGAACACCGAAAAATTTATTTGTTGTTTTATTGTTGATTTAAATTAACAAATTTAATTCCGTAAACTTCTTATTTTTTATTTTATTTTTTTTAAAAAGGGATTATTTGCTACGACTTAGGGCCTAAGGCCCAAATTCCGAAGTTCGCCTCAGGCCCCGCGAAGCACCAGTATGGCCCTGTTTTCAAACATAAATATCTCGAGATGGAAAAAAATCTCCCCACTGATTCCACGTCAGACTGCTGACTCATAGCAAAGTTTCATATTAGTTACTCTTTCCTTCCAACCCCATCCCCTCTTCTACTGAAGATAGCAACTATAGTCCGAAAGGATTTGCCAGTTGCCCATGTTATAAAGTATCTGATAAGTATATTCTTGTTTTGTCTTCTTGACTATAGATGCAGGCACAATTCCTAGAAGTGCAATGGACATGATGCCAAGTTTTAAATAGAAAACGTTATTTTGTGACCTTCTATATCAGATTGCACATGCAGAAGGCGGTGTCGGTGCCGGTGCCCGTGCCCGTGCCTGTGCGAATATTTATTTCTTATTCACTTCTATATTTTATATTCAAGGTACATTTACAGTTTAAACAAATCCCTAATCAGCTCACAAGTGTAAGTTCAATCCCATCTTGAGTTGGCATGTTTGGTAAGTGAACTAGGTACATATAACATATTCTATTCTAATAGATTATTATGAAGCTCACATGGAGGAAAACGTGTTTTGTTCTTGGTGATCACTATAATTTTGCTTGAGATTCACCTTGAAGTAAACGATTTGTTTGGTATATTGATTTGACGGTAATGATCTGTACATATAGAGACATTCACATGATAGTAAAGAATGCTTTTGCCTTCTTTTCAAGTTTGTCCGCACTGCATTAAAATATCACCTCTCCAACCTCCATCTCAAATTTGGGACTAGAAAAATAGTAGAAGAAACTAGAAAGAAAAAATGTTTAGGCAATATTTGGAAACTAAATATTTAGGCCTCGTTTGGTACACATTAATGTAAAAATGAAAATGAAAATGAAAAATATAGTCATTACAGACCCCACACAAGAGATAGAAAGTCGAGTATGATGGGCAAATACTAGGAACCAAACATGGGCTTAATACACAGATTTGATTTTTTTTATTAGCCTATAAGTTTTTAGACGAGACAATTCAATTCGATATTAGAGAACGAACAGCTTATGACAGCCACCTTAAGTCTTTCACGATCAACTTCAAAAATCACATGAATTCTTGGAGAGGTGGAGTGAGGGCTTTTTATTTTATTTTTTGCATTTTCTTTACGTGATAAGATATTTTAGATAATGAATATATTAAATCAATTTTTTTGACATAGAGCCAATTTTAGTAGACTTATTGATGATTGAATAAGTCGGTGCTTTTGTTTCGACCTCTAGCCCGTGACATCGAATGGGCAAGTTGAAGGAAATAACGTTGGTTGGATTGGGAGTGTGGGGTAGGGTGTGGTGGTAGTGATTAGTATGAGCGGCAATTAAGGAGTTATAGTTGGGATTGGTGATAGGTTGGTGCAGAGCGTAGGGTTGAAAGCAATCAATATTGCTTCAAGATTATGCTACTTTGATGGTTCTAAGAAACCTCTAAAGTAGTGACAATAAATTTTTAAATACATGAGAGAATATTAATAATGCCAATAATTATGCTAGGAACAAGGCAATATACTTAAATATTATAAATATATGTAAAAAATCCACAATAAAGTGATGATAGAGTATTGTCAAAGCAGTTCGAGTAGAATAATAATTTTGAATTTTTTTATTTTCTTTTGAAGCCTGCGGAAATTTAATTTTGAATTCTTTTTGATAAACAATATCTTAAAGCAAATAAGATAGACATCTTGATGGGATGGCAACGGGGTCCAGCCCCACCCCATCTCGTCCAAACCTCGTCCTGTCCTGCCCCCGTCTTAGACGGGGCAACTTTTTGCCTCGTTTAATTTTTTTTATTTTTTATTTTTACATTTTCAACATTTTAAGTTACGTTATTATTAGAGAATAAAATACAAATTCAAAATGAATTTTTAACAAGTGAATTGTTTAGAAAAAAATTATTAAAATTTTTTTTTTTTATCCTTCACAGGGCAAGTTCGGGGCAGGGTGGGCCGGGCCGAGCATCCTTGCCCACAGCGCCCCGCCCTGCCAACTCGTTCGGGGCAAATTTTTTTGCCATTACTACCTCTCGTTGTTAACTCAATGTTAGAGAGTTCTCTTTATTTTCAAAAATTACATAAACTTCCCAAACAAATACATAAATAAATTTTGTATTTTGAACTTTGTCTTATGCTATATTTTAAGTTAGTACTCCCTTCCTCATTTTTTTATGCTTAAATAAAAAAATAATTTCTAGATTAAATAAAATTTTATTTTTCTTTCCCTCATCATATTTAAAAGCTTAATAATTTTTTTAACAAATGAAACATTTATTTAAATTTTTTTGGACAATGCTACAGAAATTTAACGATAATTTTCCTAACTAAATTCACATTTAACAATAATTCAATTGCATTAGAAATATAAAAGAGGAAACAAAACTTTACTTTTGGCCGAGGTGAGAGTGAACGAATGGACTCTTTTTTCTCTTTTAATCCCGTGCAATAAAATAAGAGAAGATTGAAATTCGATATTTTTTTGTAATTGTTTAGAAAGGAGAAGGTAACTTCGTAAATATCTCTATCTTTTAATTTAATTTAATTTTTTTTTCCGAATTCGAGTATGTTATTGCTTGTATAGTTTATAAAAACATTGCTCTTTGCTTCTCATTTTGAAGATTAACTACTAAATTATCTAAACTACAAAAGAATTTTTTTCTATTTTGACAAAAAAAAAAAAAAAAAAAAGAAGCGTATAATTACTTTTTGAAATAAAAGAGATGTATTAAGAAAAAATGAAAAAAAAAAAAGAAAAAGCCCACAATAATCTTGTTCATACACCGTTCAATGGGAGAAGAAGTTGGAACTTGGAACCCCTCATAATTGGCCTCCAAACTCGGAGACTTTAATCACTTCTTTACAAAGTAAGAAGATTGTTAGTTTAGCCTCAGTTTGTTTCTCATTTTTCGAAGAGTGAGAATTTAAAATATAGTCGTTACGATTCCACACAAGAGATAGAAATTTAAATTTAATCGTTTAATATGATGGATAACGATCATATTTTTTATTTTAATGAAGAAAGAATGAAAACCAAACAGGAACTTAAACTATAAAGGGAGAACGAAGGCCAAAAATTTAAGGCCCCTTTCAATCAATCAAAGCTAAAACAATTTGATCCAATAAACGCAGCACTTCTTGATCCTATCTTGAAATCATTGGATTTGAAAGACAATGCAATATACACACAAGACTTGCAAAAGAAAATCTTCAAATTTCTGCAAACAAGAGAGAGAGAGAGTCAGAGTCTACGATTCCGTATTCCAAGAAAACACACAGTTCATAGTCGCGAAGGTCATTTTTACCCTTTATTTTTATTTTTCAAATAAATTGATTAATGATATTTGTGTCATTTGTGTTATATATTTTTTAATTCAATAAATTATTATTTTTATTATTATTTACATTTAAAATAAATTTTAAATGTAAAAAATAATAATCAATGAATTAATTAAAATATGAATAAAAAAATTAATATAACAAACACGATTTTTTAAAGTTAATATGAAATATGTTAAACAACGACATACATACATTAATTTAAATTCGAAATGCATTAATCGGTCATTTGTGGAAAGAACATACGAATTTCGAAAATTAAAATTGCAATGATATTTCGACTTCGTAATATCATAGTATTCAAATTTAAAATGCATTGCACTATTTTTTAATAGCATTATTTAATATTTTCATTTTTGTATTGTTTTTACTAATTGTATATTTTTTAAATTTATTAATAAATTTAATCTTTTTCTTAATTTAATGTAATTACTTATTTAGTAATTTATGTATATGTAAAAATAAATAAATAATATTTTAAATAAATAAATTATTAAGAATAAAAAAAGAGAAGAAAATTATTAAACACGATTCATTTGATGTAATGATTGGAAATGAATTTTAATTTGACACAAAATTTGGTATAAAATCGTGCAAATTTGAATGCTGGATTGGAGATGGCGTACTCCTTTGTTTGACTGTCTTATATATAATATAACCTTCATTATGGATAAAAATATTTGTATTCACGTATTTGTACAAAGGATAAAGATGTATGTACACACAAGGGGGTTACAAAATGGTTTACACCCCCTCACAAACATGCGGGTCCCACCTGTTATTAAATAATTCGAGCAGTGGTCCCCACTTTATGTTGTGAGTAGTGTGTAAAAGATTGTGTAAAAAGTTGTGTACATGTAGCATGATCCTTGTACAAAATGCTTTATGCACTCTTGCTCCTACATTAATCTATTTTTTGAATTTCTTCAAACCCAATTCTTCTCCCTCCCTCCATTTACTCCCTCAAATCTCTCTCCAATCCCCTATTTCTTAATCAAGACAATCATCTCTTATCCTCTGTGAGTGTAAACCAAAAAAGAATGAAAAGAGGGTAAAGATCACCCCCACCAAAAATAAACAGGGTTTCTAGGAAACCAGAAGATTCCCATGAATAAAGCATAAAACTCATTCATGGACCATAGAATTCATCTATGCAGACCCTTTTCTTTTGAGTTTTAACCCTTATCTTCAATCCCACATTCTACGAATCTTTGAGGGAAAAATAAAATAAAATTCAAACCCTAACCCTACTCTGTTATTTCTTGAAAATCCAAGAAAATCAGCAGATTGGCCAGAAAGCTAGGGAGTTTCCATCTGGGCATTTCCCGAATCTTCAAGATTTTGAAAGGATTATGTCACAGATGAAGCATATTGACAATAATCCATCAACCCCAGGGAAGTGCAAGATGGAGAAATCTCCATATAGTAGGCCGAGGCTGCATTATTCTCTAGCCAAGCTCACTTTCTGGTCCTTTGTTTTTATAGGCTCGATATTCTTCTTTTTCTTTAGATCACCCTCTTCTTCATCACCTGTCCCCTCGGATCTCTCTAGGAGATCCCTCAGAACAAGTTCCTACGGTGGCCCTGCCTGGGAGAAAAGGATCAGAGCCTCAGCTAAAATTAGGTCAAGAAATGGGATATCTGTTTTGGTCACTGGTGCTGCAGGTTTTGTAGGAACCCATGTCTCCACTGCCCTCAAACGCCGTGGTGATGGCGTTCTTGGGCTCGATAATTTCAATAATTATTATGATTCACTCCTTAAAAGAGCGCGACAATCGCTCTTGGAGCACACGGGAGTGTACATTGTGGAGGGTGATATCAATGATGCTGCCCTGATGAAGAAGCTTTTCGACATTGTTCCCTTCACCCATGTTATGCATTTGGCTGCGCAGGCTGGTGTACGATATGCTATGGAAAATCCTAGCTCCTATGTGCATAGCAACATTGCTGGCCTCGTTAGTCTTTTTGAGGTTTGTAAAAGTGCCAATCCTCAGCCTGCGATCGTGTGGGCGTCCAGTAGTTCTGTATATGGATTGAATTCCAAGGTGCCCTTTTCAGAGAGGGATAGGACAGACCATCCTGCTAGCTTGTACGCCGCCACTAAGAAGGCTGGCGAGGAGATTGCACATACTTACAATCATATATATGGACTTTCACTTACTGGATTGAGGTTCTTCACGGTTTATGGACCTTGGGGTAGACCAGACATGGCGTATTTCTTTTTTACTCGGGATATTTTGAAGGGAAAGTCGATCCCTATCTTTGAAGCAGCCAATCATGGTACAGTTGCGAGGGATTTCACCTACATTGACGACATTGTGAAGGGTTGTTTAGCAGCATTAGACACGGCTCAGAAGAGTACTGGTAGCGGTGGCAAGAAGAAAGGACCAGCTCAATTACGGGTGTACAATTTGGGGAACACATCTCCTGTGCCTGTTTCAAATCTCGTGAGCATTTTGGAGAGATTACTCAAGGTGAAAGCAAAGAGGTTGATTATGAAGTTGCCGAGGAACGGGGATGTGCAGTTCACTCACGCAAACATCAGCTTGGCTCAGACTGAGCTTGGCTATAAACCCACAACAGATCTACAGACGGGGTTGAAGAAATTCGTTCAGTGGTATCTCAGGTACTACGGCAATGGAAAGAAAAGCGCGCAATAATACAATTTATTCGCTAGCAGTAGGATCATTTTATTCGTGCTCATTTCGATTCTTATGATTTTTTAACCTGTTAGTAGTCCAATTACCTTGTTTTATGTTGAGGAAATTCACGATCCCACGAGGAAGAAGTTTTTGTGGTCAGTGGGCAATGCTTGCCCGGACATTCTTATCTGTATCAAAGGACAAAACCAACTTCTGTTTGTCATAGGGATGTAGATTGTAGCATTATGACTAAGAATAAATTTGCTGATTGATTGATCTGTATCTTTTATGTGAAATTGAAATAAATAGCATACAAAACTTTGTCTACTTCCGTCATCATAGCAATCACATAATGTCATTTAATTAGCACCGTGTTACCATCTACAATTTAGAGAGATTTGCCTTTTCATTTCTCAAAATATTGTAGTTTGAGGATACATGTAAGGATGTAGGCTAGATGTCTCATTTTCAAAATATGCCTTTTCATTTCTCAAGTGGATGATTTATTAAGGAACAAACAGAAATTTAATAGAATGTCAAGAGATGACAAGGAAATAGTACCATTTTGAAAGGCATTACTTGGATGATTTAAATAAAAGCTGGTAATGATGGTATGCCTTGAATTCATCCTAATTAAAAGGTCAAAGCCTGTCCTTGTAGGTTGTGAAGGCAGAATTTGGTAAGTTATCAGTGTTGAAGTTAAGAAATTAAATGCCAAAAGGATTTCTTAATCGAATAAGAAGATTTCAAGAATGTAAAAATCAGAAAAATATCTAGCAATATACTTTACATTCCTTCCACTTCAATTTAGACTTTCCTGATGCAGGTTATCATCTACTATAGTAAGATTAAATTTTCTAAAAGAAGGCTTACATGAAAAACACATAAAAAGGGGAAAATGACGAATCTCTGCAGAATTATACATTTTAGGCGAAGGTTAACTGTTGGACCGTGGCAGAGTTTACTCCGTCCATTACGAAATTACTAACGATCAGATCAAAACTCCCTCAAACTCTTACAAATGAATCTTCAAATCTCCCGCAAAATTACAAGAAACTATACTGGTGCACAGCCATGATCCTACAGACGCTGGATTTAGAAATCATATTTTGTTCTTCCACTCTTCAAGATAAGGCATAACATATCAGATATGTCAGCAGATGCTGATGAACTCAAGAAGTTCCAAGACTCGCTTGCGTGGTCCCTTAAAATGAACTACCTGTGGACAGAAGTGTCATCAGAGAATTAAGTAACTTTTGAAAAATAAACTGCATATCAATGAAAATTATTTAGCAACAACCATTGCAATCTTTGCTATTTCTCAAATCACTCTATGCGAAAATAGATGTATCTTTTTACCTTTACATTCAAGGGCATTCCATGAAATTGACCTACACCCTCTAGTCAGAAGCGGTTTTGGGGGTGCGCAAGTTGAGCGATCGCACAGAGTTTCAAAATTGTAAGGGCACCAAAAAAAATTTTGTTATAGTTTATATTTATTTATAATTAAAATATTAAAATATAAAATTTTTATTACCATGCATAAGATATTAAAATTAAGAATAATATGACTAACTAATTATAATTTCCTTTAATAAAATATTCTTAAATAATATTCCTACCTTAAATAATGTGAGGGAGAAGGAAAAGTCAAAAAAAGATTAGGCCAATCAGAGAACTAAGAGAAGAAAAAAAAAATGAGCAATCGCCTTTTCCAATCTTCTTTTTGGAGAAAAGAATTTAAGAAATCAATTGTCTTTTCCAATTGCCTCAAAGATAATTGAGGCAGAGAAGAAGGAAACCAATCGTCTTTTTGGAGAAATCGTCTTTGATCTGGCTCCAAAAAATTCGCTCTTTTCCTTAAGTGACAATTGACGATTCATAATTTTCACTAAACTCTCGCTGAAAATCTGAATTACCTGTTATCTTTTTATCAATCTCGTTTCGTAATTTTACCAATTTGAATTCGCTTTGCAAGAACTCGTTAAAATCTAAATTCGCTTTGCTTGAACATGGGGACTGAGGATTGAGGAAGCACGACATATTTTTTCCTCCGGGGAAGTTGAACACTTACAAGTGAGTTTTTGTTTCCTCAACATATTTTTTCTTCAATAATTTCTTTGAATATTCAAGAAAATATAAATTCCTTTTTAATATTTTTTTCAATGTTTTGAAGATGGGTTCACGGTTCATAATTTATAATTACTAATTTAATAAGTAAAATCAATTAACTGTGAAGAGATTAACTATGATGAGATTTATTGTTAAGTGAAATCAATTAACTGTGAAAATAGGTTCACTATTCATAATTTATTATTACTAATTTAATGAGTGAAATCAATTAACTGTGAAGTAAAATCTGCTAATGAAATTAATTTATTGAATTTTTATTACCCTTTTGACTCTCTTTTCGTTTGATTGGTGATACACAGGTTTTGGAAGAATCAAGATTGCTTTAATTGTTTATAAAGATTTTGATTGTTTAATCTTTAATCGGGTGCTATATTCTTTTTTTTTTTTTAAGATATTAAATGCTTTTTTAGTTTTTATTGTTGTTGTCAAATCAAAGTTTAAAATGTATCATAGAAAACAACAATCATATGAATTTTGATAAAGTTTGAGAGATGCTTTTGAGCTTTATTTATATTTTTCTTGTTCATGTATGTAAAAAAGTAAAAAATAAAAAATCAAACAAATATTTAAACATCATATTTTTGTAATGAAATAATATTATTGAAATATATATTTTAGTTACTTGAAGGGGCACCATTTTAAAATCTCACACAGGACACCCAAAATTTCAGGGTCGGCTCTATTACAGGAAAGAATATGAAATCTGCCATTACAGGAAAGAATATGAAATATGCCAATAATAGAATTGTATACACGTTTTTGTATTTTTGGTTGATTGTAATTGATTAGTTTCCAAGAATAGGATAGCTAATGTAGTATATAGAAACGTGCTTCCTCCTTTGTAAATTATCATTCAATATACAAATTACCTTCTTCCAAATCACTCAATCTTTCATGGTATCAGAGCATTGAATCTGGTAACTCTGAAATTCTGTAAACGCTTCCGCTACTTAATCCATTATCACAACTGCCATGGGAGACAAAGATAACAGCGGGATGGGATCTACACTGACTAAGGCGATTGTAGAAGGCACAGATCCTTACTCCCTGCATCATTCGGACCATCCAGGTATGGTACTTGTGTCCAAAGTACTTGAAGAAGACAACTACGGCACGTGGAGTCGAGCTATGCGAATCAGTTTAAGTGCCAAGAACAAGATTGGATTCATCACAGGTTCAATCAAACCGCCTTCTTCTACAGATGACAGCTTTCCTTCCTGGCAGAGATGCAATGACATGGTAATTTCGTGGCTATTGAATTCCATTCATCCAAACATAGCCAGCAGTGTGATTTATGCCGAAAGTGCTGCGGAAATCTGGTCGGAAACAAGAGCGTTTCTCCCAAGGAAACGATTCGAGAATTTTTCAAATCAAACAAGATATTATACAACATAGACAGGGGCAGCAATCGATCTCAACCTACTACACAAAGCTTAAAGCTCTTTGGGATGAACTCTCACCCTATCATGAACCAATGACCTGCACGTGTGGTGGATTGGAGAAACTCAAAAAAAGGGAAGAGAAAGAAAAAGTCATGCAATTCCTCATGGGATTGAATGACAACTACACTGCTGTTCGTGGACAAATCTTGTTGATGCAACCCTTGCCTGATACACGTCGAGTTTATTCTCTCATTCTTCAACAAGAAAAGCAGACCGAAGTCTCTCTTAACCATGGGAATATGAATCGTCATGCCATGCTTGCAGTTCGAGACAGCAAGACAACTCAAAGGCAGAGGATGCCCACACACTGCTCTTACTGTGATGGAGATAATCATAGCATTGAAAGGTGCTTTTACCTACATGGCTTTCCAGTAGGCCACAAGTTTCATGGGAAGAACGTAAAGCCCCCCAACCAGCGCCGCTCAAATGCAAACAATGTGAACGCTGAGACAAATAAAGGTTCAAAGACAGAAGCAAAATCTGTTTCGACAGAAGCAAAATCTGTTTTAACAGATGATATACCAAAATTCACCACCGAAGAATACAATCAAATGATGACAATACTTCGAAAGGCCAACATTGATGGTAATCCACAACACTTTGTCAATACCACAGATATGCCTTTATCTAAAAGTATTACAGAAACCTCACAATCAAAATTGTGTTGGATCATTGATAGTGGGGCTACGGACCATGTAACTTCTTCTGCCGAATTACTGAACTCGAAAGTTTTGCCCATGACAACCACCATCAGTCTTCCAAATGGTGGGGAGACACATATCGAGTCAATTGGCTCACTGCAAATTACACCTCATATTAAACTTGATGAAGTTCTTAAAGTTCCACAATTTCGTGTCAATTTACTGTCAGTCAGTAAACTGGCAAGAGGATTAAACTGTGCAGTGACATTCTTTTCCAATTTTTGTGTTGTGCAGGACGTTGTTACGAGAAAGACGATTGGCCTGGGCAAGCAACATAATGGTCTCTACTACTTAACACAAGCCCAAATTCCAGCCTTTGCCTACGCCATTCGCAAGCATTCAAGTCTTTGACATCAACGTCTTGGCCATCCATCGTCACGTCCTCTTCAAGTTCTCAATAAAAGTAATCCTACAATTTATTTTGATTCAAATCATGTTTGTGAAATTTGTCCTTTAGCTAAACAAATTCGTTTACCCTTTTCATCTAGTTCTATTTCTTCTCAAGCACCTTTTGATTTAATACACTGTGATATTTGGGGACCACATCGTATAAAGTCCACTTCTGGGGCTAGTTATTTCTTCACAATTGTTGATGATTTTACTCTATATACCTGGATACATCTTATGAGTTTCAAGTCTGAAACGCAAGGCATATTGAAATCATTTATTTCTTGGGTAGAGACACAATTTAATAGTCGAATTAAAACCCTTCAAACAGATAATGGTGCTGAAATTTTTTCCATGAAAGATTACTTTGATGCCAAGGGAATTAATTACCATCGCTCATGTACTTCAACTCCCCAACAAAATGGGGTGGTCGAAAGAAAACATCGACATCTTTTAAATGTAGCAAGGGCACTTCGTTTCCAAGCAAACCTACCATTAAAATTTTGGAGGGAGAGCGTTCAAACAACATGCTATCTGATTAACCGTTTACCAACACCTCTCCTTTCTAATAAATCACCATACCAAGTTCTCCATAACAAGTTGCTTGTATATAATCATC